TAGAAAGCAAGCAGGGCTGGCACAAAGCGTCCCAGAGTGCGTCCTTCAGGACAGCTGCGGGTGCGAGCAGCACAGAACGCCCGGGAGGAGCTAGCCGCACTTATTCACATCTCCCCGCGGTGATGCCACTCACCGGAGACAACCTGCCCAGGACAGGAGGTGACCGCGGCTCATCCAGAAGCACCACCTCCCGCACACACACCATATGTTGCGTTCCTCAAAAACTTAGTTATCCTTCAGGTCTGGCTTGGGTGAAGGCAGGAAAAAGGAAGGAAAAAAGAAAGAGAGAAAAAAGACAAATGGAGAGGCAAATGCTGTGATGAAAAGCCCCAGCATTGCTGATGGGAAATGAGGCCTGGCTTGGTGTCACCAGTTGTGGAGGCCTGGAACAGCACTACCATCCCCAGCCTGGCTGGGGGGTGCCCGGGGAGCAGCAGGGCTGGGATGCACAGTGAAGACTGTCCAGGTCTGACCGTTCACATCTGCTTTGCAATAGGCCCGGCCCAGGAGAAAGGCCACCCGAAGAACCCAACCGAGGGAGGACGGTGGTGCTGGGGGAAACCCCAGTACAACATTCCGGTTTTACAGCTTGTAGGTGCCCACAGGTCAGAACTGAGGACAACCGAATGTACTAAAAATTGAATGCAAGAATGAATTTTTTTTTGTAGGTCAAAGCTGTTCACTTCACCCTGTGTAAGTGTGCACATACTGTCTTCCATTCACCCCACTCTGTAGGTGTGTGCATATATATGTGTATATAGGTATGTACGTCCCCGTGTGTGTGAGTACTTTTTTAAATGTGTGTGTCTGTGCGTGCGTGTATATATTTTTTATTTATTTATTTATTTATTCATTTATGTAGTTCCTTGTGGAGCTTGGCAGCTGAAGAAGGCACTTACTTGTTTAGGAAAACATAGGCTATGTATCCGAGCTCAAAATAATAATACCATCAACTGGGTTTTATATTATACTATAACCCCTCAACCCACCTCCCTCCCTGGCAGAAACAGCCTGTAAAAGTTGTCACCACTAATCTCCAGAAGAACTTTTTCTTTCTGCAGGGGACGAGAGAGGAACCAGTGCCATTCCGGGTTGTGTTACACGAGGGAGGAGACGGGGGTGGAGAAGAGAGATACAGAACGGAGAGGAAAAAACAAACAAATAAAAACAACCAAAACCACCCCCTAAAGCCTCCCAAAACTCTCCCACCTTCAGATCCCAGCCTTGGACCCTGGCCTGGGGAAAGTAGCATCTAGTATGACAGAGGGAAAATTAAGTCTCCAAGTTCCCAGCTCCACCTCCTTTACACATTCCAGATCCACAGAGGTTAAAAACGGAATCAAAGTTCATTTCCCAATTAAATGTGAGTTGTGACCATTTTAAAGTATCCCTGTAATTTGTCGAGGAGAGGAAATGCCTCTCGTCGCCTGAACTGTGCTTTAACCTGGTCAACACAGGCACGAAACTTTTATTGATGGGCGCCCAGAGTCTCGTCTCCCCTCCCTAACAGGCTACTGCACAGCCACAGGACGTCGGAGATGGGTTTAACTCGGGACTCCTGCAAATTTCACTAGCCCTTCACCCCTCGGTTATTTCTCAAACCACGTTTAGAAATTGCTTTCCCTCAGCACAGAGCGAATGAAAACCACCAAGCGTTTCCAGCCAGACGAAGGGAAAAAATTTCTCCCCACCGCACAACCCCCGCTGCCCAGACCAGCGTAGTCTGAGCATGTTTAGGCTCCTTCTGTATTACAATTGTGCCCAGCCCGGCTGGGAAACATCTGATTACTGCCCCTGTAATCTGTTGACACTATCACCCAGACAAACAAGCTGCCATCGATCTTTTCATTAGGTGATCAAATAACAAACAAAGCAGGTGAAAGAGAAGAACGTTGGAATGCTTGCACGTCCCCAGCCCGGCGCCCTGCGGCTGCAGCTGGTCCTGGGACCTGAGATCGGTGCCTGCGTGGGTCACCTCTGTGAGACACGCTCGTTATCTGGGGAGGGGAGCAGTGGAAATACCCACACATGTTTCTATAGGGGGAAAGGGGAACGAAAAGGAGGAGGGAGAAAAAAATCTCGGACAGAATAAGGACCGGGTGCCTTTCACTCCTCCCAAATGCCGGAATGCCCAAATGACGCCAAGGGAGGAGGTGGCCCGGGGGGGCAGGATTGGGAAAGGTCTCCCTGCCAAGTGTCGTGGCCTCACTCCCCTCCCTCTGTCCCGAAACCACCCGAGGAAGGAAGCGGCGACTTGCCTGGGGTGGCCCGGGGAGTCAGGGCCGTCGGCAGGGTGCCCGGTCCGGGAGGAGCTGGGCTGCGGCTGCTGGGTCCGTCCACCTTCTCTCAGGCTTTCTGTCTGTGTCTGTGTCTGTGTCTCTGCCTCTGTCTCTCTCTCTCTCTCTCCCTCTCTCTCTCTCTCTCTCTTCCCCCCTCTCTCCCCCCCCCCCCCCCCCCGCGTGCTTTGCTCTGCCTCTTTTACTCCCTGTCTCTTCACAGTCTGGGGAGTAAAATCTAGATGATACACATACGGAGCTTGCTTTTTTGTCCTGTTTAATCTTATTCGTTTCACCTTTTCACTGATCAAGAGACAGGACGGAGACTTTATTTGGAAAGAGCGAGAGAGAGGAAAGAAGCCTACTGTTGCATAGTCAATAACATCCTTTTTATCAATGCAACATACAACAGAGACGGCTTGGCCAAGGGCCTCATTGAAAATCTCTTCATTATTTCGGGACAAAATCAAGCGTTTATTCTGATCTTAGAAATGATGAAGGAATCTTTTCTTCAGGAGGCTCCAGCCTTAGATTTCAGAGTTGACAGGGAAAGAAAAAAAAATATAATGATCACTATACATCAAATCTGAGGGGCTTGGTTTTTTCTCTCTACTTTTAATTAAAGCAACATCACTTTACAAAAATAAATAGTAACAATAAAACTTCTGTCACCTATTTAATTCACTTTCCTTCTGTAGGTTTTCCATCCAGATTCTAATCTGATTATAAACTTTAATGGGAGGTAAGAGAAAAATATAGTGGTGAGTAGAGGGGCTTGGGGTGTTAGTTTTGGTGGGATTTTTTATTGCGGGGAGAAGCTGTTCAGTTTTTACAGTCTGCTTCTTCTTTGTCACATTCAGTCTTTCGAACCCAAGGCAAATTTCAGATCGCTGACAAAAGGGAAGCTGCCGATAAGGCTGGCTTGTGAGAGAGACAGAAATTGAAAAGAAGAAGGTCTTCTCCGCAGTTTAGTTTTCTATTGAAAACAATTGTTTTTAAAAAAAGGAGAAATGCATTTTTTGTTAAATCGGGGATGGGGTGGAAGGCCGCGGAATGGCTTCCCGGGCTCCCCCGGGCCGACGGCTCCGTGCCCACTAGATGGCAGCCGGAGCCAGCGATTCCTGCTCGCCGGGGCCGGAGCCGCGCCGGGCCGCGGAGGGGAGCCGAGGGGCAGGAGAGGGACCGACAGCCCACCACCCCCCCGCGCATCCTCCTCACCCGCCTGCGTAGGGAGAGCAGGAGACCCTGGGGAGGGGATGAAGCGAAGGACATTGCGTGCAGGACCGTTTGGGGTTGTTGTGACTGCTCACACACTCCCAAAATAAAATTAAAGGGTAGGGGTGAAACCCCCGCGAGAAGCGTGGAACCCTGCGGGGTTGCAGGTGGACATGTTAGGTGAGGAATGAGGGGTGAGGGGCGAGGGACAGGCTGCAAAAATAGCCCTAAGTGGGATGGGAACATATGGGGATTTGAATACGTGTGTGGACTCGAGCGCGTGTGTGTGCAGGGGTGTGCATATACGGGTGCCTGCTCCTCCGTGCAGCGCGCGTGTTTCCTTCTCATCATTAAAAACCCTGGAGTGGCTTTTGCAACGGGAAAGTGGAAGGCAAATCCCTATTTCAGATCTGTAGTGGGGAAAAAAAAGACCAAAAAAAAATTCCCCCCCCAAAAAAAAAAAAAAGAAAAAAAACAAACACAAAAAACCCCAACCCACACTAACTTTTCACAGGGAGCCCATATCGTGTCCTTTTATATGCACCTTTCTACCTTTCGCAATGCATCCTCCTCTGTGTGATGGGGTGGGGAGGTGGGGAGTAGAGGGGCCATAGATGACCCATACTACTCAGGTCTCAAAGTAAATAGCAGCACAGGGGGATCTCAGTGTAAACTGTGCTTGTCAGAAGAATCTCCTCTCTCCCTCCCTTCCTCCCCCCTCCCTTCTCCCCTCCCTTCCCCATCCCATTCAGTAGGTAGCAGAGAATGTTTTTTTAATTTAAAATTTTAAAAATTAAGAGATAGAAGAGAAAGAGAAAGAAAGAGAAAGAGAAAGAAAGAGAAAGAGAAAGAGAAAGAGAAAGAGAAAGAGAAAGAGAAAGAGAAAGAGAAAGAGAAAGAGAAAGAGAAAGAGAAAGAGAAAGAGAAA